TAAAACCATGATGAACTTGTTTGGTGGTAGATACTGGTGGCCGACTATGCGAAGAGACATTGAACAGTGGATTTCTCCTTGCCCGTCATGTCAGTTGAATAGCAAAAAAATCACCAAGCATCAAGAACCAATGCATCCTCTTCCTGTTCCACATGCGTTTGAGAGGTGGCACCTAGACTTTGTGGGGGAACTTCCATTGACGGTAAATGGTAACAAATGGCTAATTACAGCTGTGGACTATACAACCAATTGGCCGATAGCGATGGCGGTACCAGTTGCATCAAAAGAAGCGGTAGCAGATTTTATTTATAAGGAAATTGTGATGAAATTCGGTAACCCAAAAGAAATTATCACGGACCGGGGCGCAAATTTCTGTAGTGGCTTAGTGGAGGCGTATCTAAAACGGGTTGGAACTAATCACAAGCTTACCTCTGCGTTTCATCCGCGTACAAACTCAAAAGTCGAAAGGTATAACGCCATCATAAAAGGAATGCTTCGAAAATACGTGAAAGGCAGTATTCACCGCTGGGACGAGTATGTCGAAAGCGCCTTATGGGCTACGAGAGTTCGAGTTCATTCTACAACTGGATTTTCACCGTATTTTTTAACATACGGACGACAACCTAACCTGCCAGGTGATGCAAACCCACCATATATTTGCGAAAAATCAATCAAGGACCCACGAACAATCGCGGATATTACAGCAAGAGAGCTTGAATCTTTAGAACAACATCGTGCTGCAGCCGAGTTTCGATTGAAGGCCATGGGTGACAAGGATAAAGCCAGGTGGGACGCGCTTGTGGTACCGGTGGATTATGAGGTGGGCGATATGGTGATGGTGACTCATGAAGGTAAATTCGGACTCGAACCAAACTACAAGGGGCCTTATATCATAACGCAAGTACTCGAGGGATATGGAACCTGCCGATTGGAGACAATTCAAGGTGAGCCACTTTCATCGTTGGTGCATAAGGATAGACTTAAGCTTGCAAAAGGGCCAAAGCCTACAGAAGCCTGGTATAACCCTACGGATAGTCGTGCTATAGTCAAAAACATTACATCCACGCGTAGTGGTCGAGGAGGGGGAGGACATCACGTTATTGTTCCAATTCGTGCTGATCAAGATTATGTAGACCCTGTAGTCGGTCCAGACCAGTCATTGTCAGTGGGCTCAAAAAGAAGACCTCATCATCAAGAATCATTCGGTGAAGCATCACGCGACACACAAAATACAACTGATATGGTACCTGACTCAAAGGAGGACATGAAGCAAGATGTACAAGCAAGGAAGGAAGCAACAAAGGCTCAAGAAGAATCGGTGCAAGGAAAAGAAGCTCAAGATCTATGGTGTGACGCGATGGAAGATGACAAGGTACTTGATGTGGAAGGTGAACAGGTGCAAGAAAAACCGGAAGAGGACACAGAATTGTCAAAGGGTGAAACCAAATCAATGGATATAACTGAGTCAGACATGAAGCATATTGTGGACGGATATGACAGTATATCATCAGCGGATAATATCATCGATGAAGAGTTATCCGAGGCAAGCTCATTGAAGAAGGATTCGAGGAACGCATCGCCAACACCCGATCAAAAAGAGGAAGAAGTAAGTCAAGCAAGAGAAGTAGCAACACAGACGGATACTCCAGAGTCATCATCGGGGGGCCGATTATCGCCAACAAAGGAATTAGCCAGAGGTCAAATCAAGCCGGTGGTCTCCAAAAGCGAGATGAAGCGTATCATACCTAATCCAGTCAAGCAAGCAAGACCAATAATCACTGCAGTACCGATTCAAGTGCCATCAAATAAACCCGTGATAGCCAAAGAAAAATTTGAGGTGCCTAAAGAAGCAAAGTTTACCTACCGGTCAAAGCCATTATTATCACCAAACTTCCATGGAAAACGAACAAGTCAAGACAAAGCAGAAAATTTTTCCTCAAGACCCACTACAAATGCAAAAGATACGACCACAAATGAGTGGGGACACTCATCAGACTGGGAAGGGGGTATTGTCAGTACGCCAAACTATGATAGCAGAATACCAAGGCCACCTAAGTTACACACCCGGCCAAGTTTTAAGCCAATCACACCAGCTCGATTTAAGCGCCAGCGATTGCTATACATGGCGTTGGGTATAATACCGTTCCGGCCCGGACACAATTAAATAGTAGTATAAATATATTTCCCCCGTTTATTTCAATAAAGGACAACTATCTTTTAAGTAACTCTAAACGTGCTGATAGACCCTAACCTTTGGGTATACATCCATCCATCAGCGAATCACACGAATCTACGACTGACACCACTGTCTGAGGCTCCCCATTCTGCTGAGATACGCGCCCAGTGACTTCGGAATCTGGTCGGCAATCGAATCAGATTGGAGGAGCCGAGGACACTCCTTTTTTCTTATTTTTTTTTATCATTTTTAAATTCCGCGCCTATAAGATCGTACTGACATTCCCAAACTTCTGGTTCCAAATACGCGTACAATGTTGGAATTTCATCTCTTTTTGAAAGCTAATTTTTTTCGGCTATGTATGGATAAAAAGCAGTGATTTATTCATAAGGCATTACTTAGTCTCCTACACATATAGCCATTGATGTGATGAATTTTATAAAAAAAAAAAAAAAAAAAAAAAAAAAACGAACGTCGATGTTTGGTAATGTCAGGAACGAGGGAGGAGCGAGACAGGCAGGACAGGACAGGACAGAGAATGAATAGCTTCTTGGAGCAGGTTATTTATTTAAGAATAAAAGGGAGAAAAGAAAAGAGAAGATGATTATGAAATATATCTGATAAAGAAAACTGGGAGAAGTAAAATTTATCAGCTATATTTATAGAGAAAGAAAAACAAGAAATTAAATAAAAGAATAAGCAATGACAAAAGTTAGCCATAGCTTATGTGGATCATGACAAAGGATTTAAAGAGCTGATAGATCAATGATAAATATTGAGTCTGAAAGCTGGTTACTCATAAAGCATATTTGTGGCATAAGATCTAACAGGATCATGACAGGTAGATCAATGACAGCGTCAAGATTGGAAAAGAATACCAAGAAACTGCCCATAAACCAATATTGACACCATATATTATCTGGAGCCTGCTGATAGTTACACAATTTAAGCTGGACAGTTGAAAAATAATAATCCATAATAGTTTCTCATATAAGTGCTTTAAGTGGTATTACACAGGATCGAATCATGCATAAAAACAATAAAAACCATCATATAATTATTACCAGGTAATATCCCCTCTTTTCGTCGCTGTCTGTTACCTTTTGTATCTATCTTTTCACAAAATTTTGTAGAAGCTCATTGAAAAAACGATTTAGCTTTTTACATCTAAAAGCACTGTATTATTTACTCATTCATGGTATACTACTGGATTTGTATCTCCTTTAAAATCACTCTCAGAACACTTTTGTTTTCTTCTTTCTTTTATAAACAATAGTTAGCTTATGCTGATTAATTGAAGTCTGGTACTCACTATCACATTTGTAAATTAATAACAACTGTCGCTTTTCTATATTTAAATCCGTACTAGCGCTATATCACCACCACAAAGAAAATTTAACGCAGGGAAAAACTGCATCTTTTCCAAGCCTATGGTTACAAGCTATAACAACGAAGAAATATCCAAGCGGTGACATGAGTGTATCTTCAGTAGACATTGCTGAAAAATCTGGCTACATACAAAAGAGATCAATCGCTTTTTAAAAGGCATTGGCCATGGTTGACGGGTAGTTAGGCCAATGCTTCCTAAATCAGGTAGTGCGATATGTACACATTTAGAACATACGAGACTTTGATGATCTCTTGCTTTATCATTAGGAGTTGAATTTACATCACCGTCACCATGGTTTTAATGGATGCGGTTGATACGCTGAAGTTGACCTTCCCGGACGTAATTTTCTCTTTCATCATTCAAGCCAAATTATCCATCCCTTTTGTTTTATATGGCACCTGTTAATCCATTCATCCATCCATGCATGAAAAAAAAAAAATAAAAAAAATAAAAAAAACATCAAAAAAAAAAAAAATTGAACTGAGCTGGATGGATGCATGGATCGAACGCTCTACCATCTTTAAATGCTACCAACAAAATCATTTTTTTAAATATACATATTAAAAAAGCTCACTGCTTTTGGCACCGTCGCTACCGGAAAATATCATCACTGAATCCTTATAAATAATGTTACATCGCGCCCTTTTTTTCTCTCCCTTTGGCTGCTTGTACCACAGTAGTAGTAGATAATCCCCCATTTACTCTTTATAATCACCTGGGACTTTATATTAAAAAAAATTCTCTACTATTGAACAATGTGATGTTGACCCGAAATTGACAGCCTTTGATAGTAATGTGTTCATGGGAGATTATTTGCTCTTTTTTTTTTTTTTTCTTGCAAGTTGGACCACAGCAGTAGTAGATAATCCCCCGTTTACTCTTTATAATCACCTGGGACTTTGTATCAAAAAAAATTCTCTACTATTGAACAATGTGAAATTGACAGCTTGTTGCGTATGGTCCCTAATCGATCTCTTTTTCTCTTTCAAAAATCTCAAGTTTAGTTAAAACCATCTTTTCATCATTTGTAGAACTCACAATCCCAATCAGTTATAGAAATCACACTCTGAGAAGTTACACTCCCATTCCTTTATTATTTGCTTTAGTTTTTTTCTTCATCAAAATATCCACCCTATTCTTGGGATAATTAACTTTAGGCATAACTCTTCTCTGCTATTTTCAAGTTGTAAGCAATTTGACACTTCTATTTCCAACAAAAAGACATAGATTTCATCCGTTAACAACAAATACGTTCACAATTCCCTTTTCTCTGAGGGATTCCTTACCTACCTATAGTCTTAGTCTGTCTGACTTGTCATTAGCTATGTTACTGCAGTCGGGCCTAGCTTCAATTGTTATTCCAGCTTCCAACACTCCTGTTATTCTGGCCTCTGAGTCAATTATTTCTGTGGTTTTCCCTCACCACAACGTCCGTATGTCTAAGATCTTGGTACGCGATTTGCTTCATCGTGGGTCCCAATACACATATTCTTCAACAACAATCTGATCGTGAAACTATATTCCCCTAAGCTACTTCGTAAATTTGGGGTCGCAATAACCAATGCGTATATGCAACCTACTGGTAACTTTCGTCGTGTCCTGGGTGCCAGTATATAGTCTACTGGGTCTATCAATTTCCGTCCTCTTCTTGAGTCCTAAATGTCCACATGTATTCAAGCATTCGATCAACCAACACAATTGGGAGCTATATTGCGTGATTCCTTGTTCCCTCCAAAGCCTGCGACCACCTTTTACGGACGTGCTAATTCGACCTGGTAGAATACTGGCTATACTCATTTCGCTTGATTCGAATGACTTACAAAAACAAAAAAATCTACTGTCGCCACTTCTTTATCATTCGTTTTCAATGTTGCTTGTATTTTACTTGGAATCTGGAGATCTCGATTGAGACAAGTTTTTGACGATCAACCTTTCACATTCACAACGGTGCTTCCATTCTGCAATCCAGTCGTATGACAACTATACTTTCAAACGCTGGACGTTTAAAAACAAGTGTGCTTTCTTTCATAAAAATACTTCTTTCGACTTGTTGTCCCAATGACTCTTTCACATTGCTCTTGGTCACTCGTAAAACAAAAACAAAAACAAAAAAACAAAGACACAAAAAAGCAAATAATCACCCCTCAGTAACAATAAATAAATTTTGAAAGACAGCGCTGTCTTTTGGGACAGCCAAAGTGCACGTAGTGGCAATATAAGATCTGTAATTTCGATGTTCTCTAGACCTGGAAACAAGGATATACAATGTAAAAATTACGCATAAATGTTTATTAAACGATTTATACTTATTTTGACATCTGTCATCACTCATTCGCCTTTGAGCTCGTTTGATCTTAAGCTCATGCCGAAATGCTAAACCAGAAGCTGAAGGTAAGCTATAAAACACATATACTGGTTTAAACTGTGTTGTTTGTACTAAATGTGTATATATTTTAAGCTGTTAATTTATATTGACCTCTTGATGTCTGTTAAGGATATCATGGATATAATAACAAAGTTATTTTTTTTTTTTTTTTTTACCTTTTACGTCTTTTTTTAACCTTTTATGCTTATCTCACTGTAAATGTCTCGTATTTTGGATGGATTTTTGCCAGTATATTGATCATACCCACCTATGATGCTGTGTATCTTGGCGTAGGTACGATTTTTGACACCATGTATTAGCTAAAGCTTGCTGATAATCACACAATATAAGCTGGGCAGTTGAAAATTAATAATCCTTAATAGTTTATCTCATATAAGTGCTTCAAGTGGCATTTCTAGAACAAACATAATCCAGAGTGGCGAGCTACTTCTGGGCTTATTTACCATAAAAGGTAATATAATCACGTGCCCCACTTTACTCTTGTAACTGTTTTTTCCGTCAACCACTGTCTGAGGCTCCCCATTCTGCTGAGATACGCGCCCAGTGACTTCGGAATCTGGTCGGCAATCGAATCAGATTGGAGGAGCCGAGGACACTCCTTTTTTCTTATTTTTTTTATCATTTTTAAATTCCGCGCCTATAAGATCGTACTGACATTCCCAAACTTCTGGTTCCAAATACGCGTACAATGTTGGAATTTCATCTCTTTTTGAAAGCTAATTTTTTTCGGCTATGTATGGATAAAAAGCAGTGATTTATTCATAAGGCATTACTTAGTCTCCTACACATATAGCCATTGATGTGATGAATTTTATAAAAAAAAAAAAAAAAAAAAAAAAAAAACGAACGTCGATGTTTGGTAATGTCAGGAACGAGGGAGGAGCGAGACAGGCAGGACAGGACAGAGAATGAATAGCTTCTTGGAGCAGGTTATTTATTTAAGAATAAAAGGGAGAAAAGAAAAGAGAAGATGATTATGAAATATATCTGATAAAGAAAACTGGGAGAAGTGAAATTTATCAGCTATATTTATAGAGAAAGAAAAACAAGAAATTAAATAAAAGAATAAGCAATGACAAAAGTTAGCCATAGCTTATGTGGATCATGACAAAGGATTTAAAGAGCTGATAGATCAATGATAAATATTGAGTCTGAAAGCTGGTTACTCATAAAGCATATTTGTGGCATAAGATCTAACAGGATCATGACAGGTAATCAATGACAGCGTCAAGATTGGAAAAGAATACCAAGAAACTGCCCATAAACCAATATTGACACCATATATTATCTGGAGCCTGCTGATAGTTACACAATTTAAGCTGGACAGTTGAAAAGTAATAATCCTTAATAGTTTCTCATATAAGTGCTTTAAGTGGTATTACACAGGATCGAATCATGCATAAAAACAATAAAAACCATCATATAATTATTACCAGGTAATATCCCCTCTTTTCGTCGCTGTCTGTTACCTTTTGTATCTATCTTTTCACAAAATTTTGTAGAAGCTCATTGAAAAAAACGATTTAGCTTTTTACATCTAAAAGCACTGTATTATTTACTCATTCATGGTATACTACTGGATTTGTATCTCCTTTAAAATCACTCTCAGAACACTTTTGTTTTCTTCTTTCTTTTATAAACAATAGTTAGCTTATGCTGATTAATTGAAGTCTGGTACTCACTATCACATTTGTAAATTAATAACAACTGTCGCTTTTCTACTATTTAAATCCGTACTAGCGCTATATCACCTACCATAAAGAAAATTTAACGCAGGGAAAAACTGCATCTTTTCCAAGCCTATGGTTACAAGCTATAACAACGAAGAAATATCCAAGCGGTGACATGAGTGTATCTTCAGTAGACATTGCTGAAAAATCTGGCTACATACAAAAGAGATCAATCGCTTTTTAAAAGGCATTGGCCATGGTTGACGGGTAGTTAGGCCAATGCTTCCTAAATCAGGTAGTGCGATATGTACACATTTGGATCATACGAGACTTTGATGATCTCTTGCTTTATCATTAGGAGTTGAATTTACATCACCGTCACCATGGTTTTAATGGATGCGGTTGATACGCTGAAGTTGACCTTCCCGGACGTAATTTTCTCTTTCATCATTCAAGCCAAAGTATCCATCCCTTTGTTTTATATGTCCCTGTTAATGCATTCATCCATCCATGCATGAAAAAAATAAAAATAAAAAAAATAAAAAAAATAAAAAAAAAAAAATTGAGCTGAGCTGGATGGATCGATGGATCGAACGCTCTACCATCTTTAAATGCTACCAACAAAATCATTTTTTTAAATATACATATTAAAAAAGCTCACTGCTTTTGGCACCGTCGCTACCGGAAAATACCATCACTGAATCCTTATAAATAATGTTACATCGCGCCCTTTTTTTCTCTCCCTTTGGCAGCTTGTACCACAGTAGTAGTAGATAAGGAGAGTTATCTACTATCGGTTTGGCAGTGCGACTCAGTCTCACGACACACGGCTATTTTGATTCTCAGGTGAAATAATTTTTTTTTTAAACATAAAAAAATCTTATGGGTTATTTTCAATAACAAAATGCATTTAATACTTCCTCCGTCACCAGTAAATTATACACCATATTATTCTGTTGGATAAAAAAAAGATTGAGTACATTCAGGGTGATGTAATGAGAAAACTTTCACAATAACGGATGGTGCATCAGCACTGCCGATGTAGGGATATTCAATTTCAATAGCCAATAGGAAGTGAGATGTAAATATTCATACTTGAACAACGAATATTGATATGCCCGAGTGTCATTATGTTTGTCTTTTTTATAAAAATGCTACAGGGAGGTTAAGGGAACGTTTGTTTAGTTGAGGTTTTTCAAAACCGTCAAAAGTTCTCTATTAATCTTGCATGGAAGCTGTTCTTTTTTTTTTTTTCTTTTTTTTTCTTTTTTAGAAAATCCGAAAACATTTTTCTTCGCTTTTTTACTTTCTTATCTCTCATTCACCCTAATAATACCATCCTTGTTGAGACATTACATGAAGACATGTATACATATAAAAGGTGTATTACATTCCTGCGATCGGATGACAAGATAAAAAGACGAAAAAATTATCAACAATCTACAGCATACTACATCTACCAGCAGATGCCTGTTTGTCAGAATCAAACACATAGCAGCATATTTGGGCGTTTGTGTTGGTGACATCATCTTGACCACTGGGTTCGACGTGTGACGGGTCGAAGCACCATGTTGGCTCATTACCTCCATCATTGCCAAGAATTGCTTCTGTCCATTTCAAGGCTTGTGCGAAAAATAAAAAACAACGGAGCCAACAAACTATTATTGATTCGTCACCTTTCGTAAACTGTTAAAAGAGGAGTGAGTTGGCTATTTACGTTCTACTATCGCATGATACTAACTTCTGATATAGACTGCAGAACATGACATACTGGTTTCCACGCGACACTTTTTTTGTATACCATCTGTAAATTTGAGTCACGTATACAGCTGATCCCTTCCACATGCGTGCAGTCATTGTAATCGTATAATTGTCTAGTGTGAACAGTAGATCAGAAAGCGGGTGTCGGTAGTATTTGTCTAAAGACTTCATGATCACCTCTTATTGAACACCTTCCATCAACAAATTCACAATAACTCGACTGGTCAAAAAGGCTCCCACAATTGACTTCCCTCAGTATCGTCTGGGCTATCAACAAAGCTTGATTCACCATCATACGGTCCTGTTGTGATTAAATTTAAGACGCACTCATCTATAACCCTCCCAACACAAGCCGGAAGTGCAATTTTTTCGAAGATATTACTAGAGTTTTTTTCACTTTGTCTATTAGATCTGATCAGTTTGGAATATTTTCTTATAGTACGCTCCATGGTTCTTATAGAGTAAGCACGTAGAGGACCTTGTTTTCTGATAATGAGCGGAATATGGATTAAATAGTCTTGAACTGGTCGAAATACGGCACGCGATAGGTTCTTATGACCCATCTGTTCAACAAGAAATTCATGCAAGTCTTGAAATCATTTGTAGAAGGTTGAATAAAGGGGGTGAGTAACAAAGTATTATGGCAAGCATCCTTATTTCATTTTACTTACGTTTCCATTCTGGTCAGAGTTTGTTGTTGAACCTCCCATTTTAATGCAAGACCACACCCTTTTACCAGCGAAATGATTGCATTTTGGAGCTCTGGGTTGGAAGGTGTACGATGATTAATGTTGGAACAACATACAAAAGAAAGGCAAGCCAATCTACGGCACGAGTCCATCTGTTCTGGCTATCCAAGTATAGAAACTACTCTGGAACAATGCTAGTATGTATCTTCTTGATTGCTTAATGGCTTTGCCTATTTCTATCAACTTGGGCTTGGGGATGAAAAAAGGGTAGCCGGTTTTACTCTGGATCCGATTGACAATTGAACAAAAAAGCATCATTTTTGGAAATATCCACCATGATGAAATCGTACACAAGCTTACCAATACCTCTAGTTATCAAATGTAACTATTCCAATGCAAAAAAACCTATGAACCCGAAAACGAAAGAAATCCCTTGAAGATGCTTGACTGATATATGTTCGTAGCCTTGACATTTAAATAAATGTAATTACAACCATAGTAGTTAACTAATTAATTTTAGCTTACAGGATTGCTTTGCTTGAAATCGGATGAAGGTCTTAAAGATGCGAAACTATCGTCCAAGGTCATCCCCCTCATGTCGATTCTCTGTTGCTGTCCTTTAGTTCCACAAAATCTGCAGCCGACCGGAATTGTGTGGGATCCCACATGTGCCATATCGGCCATCAACAGGAATATCGCCGGATGCCAATACTAGATGTACCTTTCCTCATTTTGTTTGATTATCATCCGATGAACCAAGACGTCCTTCAATTCCATAATATTAGGCATCAAAAACAAATCCAAATCCTTTCGTTTTTTTGGACCTGGCAATATGGCTAGTTGTAGCAAGTAAGCATCCGAATTTTTAACAAGGAGTAATATTAATTTATATTATTATTTTACAGGAAAGGCATAAATGACTAATATAAGGGTAGAAGTTGAAGGTAATTGCGTGGATCATAGCGTGAATTGTCATCTGTTTGGTGCGGTTAGTGAAACCATCAGTATAGAAAGCGATAGGAACATCATCTGGATTGGTGAACTCAAATTCCTTGTAATCTTGACCGTCGAAAAAATCACGAATTTGAACTTGACTTGTTTCCCAGTTCACTCTATACTGCATAAGATCCCTCGTTTTTTTTTTCTGCAAGCATTTGTGAAAGCATATAACCGAGGGACATGATGGTGGTGGTTATTGCAGGTTCCTGATTATTCTGATTCTTGTTTCTGAATTCATTGCAATGCGGACAAGTCTGCTTATTACCGTCAATCACAAAATGCTTGCCTCCGTTTTTACAAGTTTCATACTCATAACCTCGAATACTCGACTTGGACTAGCCTAATGCATTGATAACATCAGCTTGCGATACTTTGGCACATGGCTCTTTTTCGTTTTTGATAGTATGCTTAGATGTCAGGAATTGCCACAATAATGATGTATGTATACCTTCCATTATTTGATCGTGGTATCTAATAACCGTATTAATCAATCTTACCAGCTCTTTGTTTCCCGCTTGCGAAATTTCGTTCTCGTCAAAGCTGGATACTAAAAAAAATCTGCTTTGATAACGCTATTCTTACTTACACCGCCATTATTGTAAACATGAACAAGACCCTCGATTTCTTCACATCTACATTCAGTCAAATAGGGAACTCTTTCATCTAAATCTCTTTGGTCGTTGCGGACTGCTACATGTTACCCCATAAATCGAAGTAAGCATTATGTCATATACCTTGCATTTTTATAAAACTTACCTGCTGGTGTTTCTTGTTGCATAGGAGAAGCACTAACTGCGTCTATAAGAGAGTACGCCAATGGATCATTGTTGTTCATAGGTAATGCACCTTCGACGTCCTCATTTGGGTCAGCAGGATCATTAACAGAATGGATTCTGCAGTGATTTCCCAAATGTTGATAAGAATTGAATTCTCTGTTGCAGGTAGAACATGGATGTATACTGGTTGTCAATTTGATCCTTTTACGAGTGGGAACAGAAGAGCTGGAAGCGGGATTGGAGATTATATAGAAAATATCGAATGATGTTAAGGAAAGGAAAAAGTATTTATTGACGGATGATGCATTCAACCCTTATTTAGGTAAGTAATATTTTGAGGCAATAAAAATCTTTACGTCATGAAGAAAGAAATTTGAACTGTAGCGATTATGCTAAAATAAATAAATAAAAACCTTTTACTCCAACACTTCTAATAACTACACATGTCTGAAATAAACAACCATCATCATTTACAAATGACTAAAACTTGAGATTCTTTAGTTGAATCTGTCAAGAATATATTGACAAATGCAATCAAATTAAAAGACGAATTAAAGCGAAATGTTTTGGACCACTTTGGTCCTGTCAAAGAAACAGTTCAACTTATGGCAATTGGTGATCTTCGGGACCAAGGCTTTTTTCTATAGGACAATAACTTTATTTCTAATACAACAATCAAGCTTATGACTCAGTTGAGCAATCTCTTCAGAGAAAGAGATACGTGGGTCGTTGTCAATATTGAATTTATAGTATCTTATAACTTTGGATTTTGATTGTCGATGAAGAAAACCAGAATCCTTGTCTGATCGAAAGACTTTACCAGCGGGGCCAGCAAGTAGTTAGTCTGATTGTAAAGTTTCGTCATTATCGAGGTTTAAAACTGGTTCCTTTTCGCTATCGTCTCCATCATCATCATTATTTTCATGGCGTTGACGTTTTTTGGTTGGGTCTTTAAGACTTATCTCAAAATAGGCAGAAAATTGAGCCAAATCAATTGCTTGTAATGAGTCTGGTCTATGAACATAGTGTTCAATCAATCCATGAGCATGTTTAGATCCAACATGGATGTACAGTTTGTTCTCGATCCATATGCTTGTTGTACTTACGTATTGGAATATACAAGTAAGGCAAACCGTGGGATGAGTGAATCAATGGAACAATTATATATCAGAGAAAAGGAAAAGCCAGATGCAACTTCTTTTGCTACTCTACGATCATTAGCTTTGACGTACTATAATTCAAGTAAAGTATCTGCTCAAGAAGCAGCATACTGTTTACTTGGTATATGAATGGTTAAAGCGAGCACCGTTACTGTCTTCGCTCCCACTTCAAGGCCTGAAAAAGGAACTCATATCTTGAAAGAAAAAGACGAATTGATCAAACTTCCCCCTGATTCTACTGATACTTTTTTACAGGATTTTTCTGTTGTAGCTGTTGACCATGATTTCATTTGGTACCCTTTGAATGTAGATTTTTTTGCTTTTCAAATAGACTCTCAAAGTTAAAAGATATTTTTCGTAGGAAGGTGCTTCCACTACATCTAGAAAATCTTGTATTGCCATTTCGGATTCGGATAATGTTTTTGAGTTATCGTTCAAATAGGCCGTAATACGAGAGTTTAGAAGACGCAAATTTTTAAGATCATCTACTGTATGCTTATTCTCTTCCAAAGGTTCCATAATTACTGTTTGGCGCATAGAAGGAAATGGAACATTAAATATACATACTATGGTGTTACCTCCTCGTTTTCTTCTATAAGTGCTGGTGTGTTTGTGGTGTTTGTCTTGTTTTAATAAGACCATGTCCACGTACTATCTGAACTTTTGGATTTCTCATCATGGTGAGCTGTTCCGTCCCACTTTTTTGCTGCAAGTGATCATAGTGTCAGAAAATCTACAGATATTTTCTTTAATCGACACAACTTCATCTTCACTACTGCATACTTTGTTTTCGTATACGGGTGCATCCTTAAACCATATTAACATGTGCACATGTGGGGAGCCTATTTAGAAAGCCTGTTAATAAATACCCCCCAATCGACTCTGAAAAAGTGCTCTTTGATCATAAAGCCAGCAAAAGGCCCTTCTTTATCCACCCATGTTCTTTTCAATTCCGTAAACCGATGGTCAAAATATCTCGCAGCCGTGATTGGATCAGGTTGTAATACTTGTGCCTTTTATTCATACGTTAGTTCTTCAGCTTGCTCTTCCGTCATAATATCATCATCACCAACTTTTTTTCAAAACACAAAGAAGCTCATTCCATTTGGTCTCTGCTGCAGAAACAGTTAAAAACAATGTCGGAACATTAAACTGCCTGATCATAGCCATACAATTTTTCTTTTGATTTTTCCAATACTCAGAAGATGAACGAACTCCCGAAAACGTCTTGAATGCTTGATCCCGGTTTAAAAGCCTTGTGACATAATCTTCGTTGTCAACATCCTTAGCTGTAAAAAGGATACCATCACTTGCAGCATTGCCTCGTTTTCTCAAAATGGTATTAATATTAGAACTCATTCTGTTGAGTAGAAATTTTTGATCCATGTACAGGGCCAAGTCAGGACGCATGACAGCTCTTCCACATTTTAGCAAAGTAACTCTTGTGTGACCATGCAAGATTGTACTCGTTACACACACACTGCAAAAATGAACAGTAACGTTTCTTTTTTTTTTTTTTTTTTTAAAAAAAATAGAATAAACACGCTTTTAAATTTTTCTTTTTTTTTTATACATATAACTCGTTATGCCTTACACGTCCTATAACGCTTGTATTGTGCAAACTAATGGTGCAGTATTACTGGCCATGGTCATACTCAATTATTTGATCTTCTCTTTTAACATTTGGCCTCTCACAAATATCTTCGACGCGATGTTAACTCAATGTTTAGGTAAGAGTATGAATAATTGAATTACCAAAGCGTGTTTCTAATCAAAGCCCATTCAGAAATATTGCTTTCTCTGTTATGCATTCATAACATTTGGTCAATTTACGGAGGAACGATCAATTCGCACATTGCTAAGGTTGAGGTTCCTTATGACGTTTATTTTTTCAGTAAGTAGAAACATTGAGAAAATAACTTTTTTTTTATTAAACATTACTGCCTCAGGACCTGGACCTCTCTCAGAAAACGTTTTTAAAACAGCACATTCAGTATTTTATGGTAGTATACGTTGAATGATTAGACATATCTTTATTAAAAAGACTGACATATTCATGTACGTATAGAATTCTTATTGGGAAAACAACCTGTTCGACCCAATACGCCTACACCCGCTGCAAAGGGACAACAATTAAATCATATGTTTGCGGACTTCTTAAACTTCGTCAAGGAGAAAGCCATTAATCCCATTTCAGCCGCCCCCAGTATTCCTGCTTCCATTACTTCTGTTCCCGGTCCCAGAACCTTTTGTGCACCAAGCCTTACCGGCATCTTTAATACAGGAGTCAACTCTTCTTTAGACATCTCACCACAGAGAGTCTTTTCCTGTTTATCGAATTTAGTAGCTCCCAAAAGCGGTACATTTAAAATCGCAGCACCCAAGCTTAAATTCGTACCATGCATTAAGCCCCCTCTTCGGCCATCTGCCCATAGACACCGCATTATGTGGTATATGAACAGAACAGAAGAACTAATTACAGACTTTAGAATCGAACAGGTAAACTTAAGAATGAATAAATATTCGAGTAGATCAATAATATATTAACAATACAATACTTAGATTCTCGAACTGAAGAAAAACTGGACCAAATTCAACGATCGCTGCTCCAGCATTTTCTACGACAGACTTCTTCTCGTAAGTGTGATTGTATAAATTATTTGGAGGCATCTTAATCAACTCTTTTTTTTTAAAGGTCTTGCATGAAAAAATGTTCTCACCCTTGGCGAAAGCCATTGAACATTTTGATGTCATGCTTGCTAATAAAAACCAAAGTCTGGTAAAGTCACCTTCTGTCACTATTGCCCTCTCCTTGGTGATCCCTGGGATTAATGTAAGAATAATGACAGGGATTGAGAGAGTTTCACATATTAATATTTATATTTAGGACAATGCTGATTTCACAATTTCAGAAGTTATAGATTTTATGGCATTGCAAGGTCACACGGACGAAAAAAGTATGACTTACGTGAAAAACCGTATCTTGGGTAAGCTGAATTAAAAGGTTCACAGTAAAGGAAGGATTATGTTTTTCTGACCGGGTTCCCAAAATATAGAATTATCCAAAAGCAACAAGTTGGCTGGCTTTAGCTTCACGCCCAAGTCGGCTGGTATGCCTTCTGATGCTGACGTAAGTATATAGTGTCTTTTTAATGATGAGTTTGGTTTTTTAATTGTTATATTACAGATTATATTGCATGTGTTAGAGGTCTACTTAAGCCTTAAGGAGCCCATGGCAATTCCCCCACTTGTGCCTGTAAGTAATCTAATAATAATCTATACGCAATATTCTAATTTTCAATTTTAGCCCCCGATCAACGTGTTTAAGTACATTCTAACATATGTATATCTAACCCCAGAGTAAGTTATTTATTCGGTATGAAGTACAACATGTTTTGACTGATTATTTTTTATTAGGTTGGAGCACTGGGAGATCTTTGCAAAGGCCAATTAAAAAGAATCAAATAAAATAAAAAACAAATCAATCTCTATAACCAGCTACTGTCATTTACATTTTTATATCTTTGATATCATTACAGCCATACGAAAGTGAGAGTCCGTATATTTACACTTCAGAGACATAAGCGAAAGATGCTAGATGCGTTTTAGATTGCCTTGAATCAAACCTTCTTTCGATATCAATTCGCATAATCGCCTAGCAAAAATCACGCATTGCATTTGATAGATAGAATAGTTTTGGGTTTGTATCAGTCAGAAAGAATGGGCCACTTTATCTAGCAAAGCTGCAAATGTATGGTGCAACTTGAGTTGTGGATCATCACCAGTAAATGTGTTTGATGAGTATGTATGCTTCCTAGTAAAAAGATCATATGGAGATGCGTGCGGACATTCAACCACATGCGAAAAAAAAAACGTACGAAGCAGACGTACAGCTAGTG